GCCCCCAGAGAAAAGCAGTCAGTCACTCCCATCTCCCCCATCTCTGGCCGCACTCCACGCTCACCCAGCCTGTGACCGAGCGTTTCTATCTCTGGCACCCGATCCTGTGTGGAGTCTCCAAACCCAGCAGATCCCTGCGGTGCGCTCCCGTGCCGCTCCTCCTGGGGGAGGAAGGGGAGTCTCCCCAGATCTGCCACGTGTTGGGTCCCTGCTGGAGGAGCAGTGGCCCGACTGTCACCAATCACTGTTTATGGCAACCCCGAACTGAGAGCCCGCGCCTCGGTTCCATCTCTGCAGCTGGCTTCCCCGCTCTGATACCCGGGAGCTCTTCCGCACTCAGGCACCCCCGGTCTTTCTGTGACCCTGAGGGTCCTGAGACCACACTGTCCCATGAGGGTTCCACCCCCAGCTTAGCCACTGGAGCGATGTCCCTCAGCTGACCCAACTTCTTAGAAGTCCGATTTTGTGCTCCGCTGCTCTATCACTTGCCAGAAGCGGTCGATGGAAGCCCCCTCCTCCGCCGTCTATCCTCCCGAATATCACCTCGGATTCACTTCTCCGCATGTCCTACCTTCTAGTAAGTGTTCGCTTTTCTGTTCAGAGAGTTGTTGCTATTCTTTTCTTCGATCTCCTGTTGAGTTCATAGGTGTTCAGAATGGTTTGATCCCTATTCAGCTGAATTCCCGAGACCAGAGGAAATCCAGGTCTCCTACTCCTCCGCCATCTTGCTTTGCCTCCACCTTTTTTGGACACTTTGAAGATGTTATTCCACTGCTTTTTGTCCTCCATGATCTCAGACAAGAAGTCACTTGTTAATCTTATTGAGGCTCTCTTGTACATGAAAAATCAATTTTCTCTTGCCACTTTTAATATTTTGTCTTTGTCTTTTGTCAGTAGGTCTATGATGTGTTTCAGTGTGGATATTTGAGTTTATTCCAGTTGTAGGTTCATTGAGCTTCTTGGATGTGTAGATTGATATTTTTATTCAAATTTGGGAAGTTTTTAGCTGTTCATTCTTCAAGTGTTTTTCTGCCCTTTAGCTTTGTCTTCTTCTGGGACTCCAATTATTTGTATGGTGATGCACTTGGTCCTGTGCCATATTCTCTGAGATTCTGTTCATTTTTCTTTATTCTATTTTTTTTCTGTTCCTCAGTGAATAATTTCCATTGACCTATATTTGAATTTATTTTTTACTTTTACCAGTTCCAATCTGTTGTTGAGCCCCTCTGGTGAATTTTTCATATCAGTTATTGTACTTTTCAACTCTAGAATTTCTATTTGGTTCCATACATAATAGGTATTTCTTTATCCATATCCATATTCAACAACACTGTTTTTGTATTTTCTTTTAGTTTTTTAGATATGCTTTAGTGTTTTTAATATATTTATAATATCTGATTAAGACTTTATCAACAAATTTTGAAATCTGTGGTTCCTTAGAGATGTTTTCTTTTGACTGATTTTTCCCCCTTTGTATGTTTCACATTTTCCTGTTTCTTTGGATATATCATAAATTTTTGATTAAAACTCAATATTTTAGATCATATATTGTAACATCTCTGTTATCATATTCCTCCACCATCCAAGATATGTTGTTGTTTCCGGTTTGTGGTGTTTTTGTTTATTTGTTTGTTTGGTGATTTTCTTGGACTATTTCTGTTAATTGGTCATTCTTTGCAGTGTATGACCCTTGTAGGGTTTTGGTCACATCTGTGTCAGTATAATTTAATAGCCACCCAATATTTGTTAGAAGATTTCCTTAATGCTTTGCCTATTTTCTTTTCCATTCATCTGTCTGTGGACATCGGGCTCTTTCCATATTTTTACTATTATTGACATTGCTGCTTTAAACATTGGGGTGCATCCCCATGCCTTTTTTGAGTGAGGCATTATCCTTGTGCATCCTTACATTTACAGGAATATTTCAGAGGTTTTCAAAATTTGTTATGGTGCTTTGGTACTCCAGTATTTCCTTTTAAATTGCTGGATAAGTTGTTGGTCCGCCCTGAAATCATAGGCCTAGATAGCTGGTGATGTGACAGTAGTTTGCTATTGTATTGGTAATGCCCTACAGTAGGCTCCCCTTTCCCCCACGAGTTCTCAATCAAATCAACTAGCCACCAAATTTAGAGAATAAAGGAGTTAGGAAATACAGAGTTAGAAAAAAATATTGATTGTGTTCTGGGGGTGATGATGATGCTTTTAATGGGGCTCCAAAAATAGATCTCTCCATTGTCTTCAGTGCTCTCCACTTTTGGTTGCCACACCACTAAGCTCCATGTTAAACCATCCCAGGCTCCTTTCTCCCCAGTCTTCATGACGTTCAGTAGTTTCTCTTGGATAGACTATTTTCAATTCGTTCTGCAGTTTTGGGTAACTGTCAGAGTTTTGAAATGGTTGGTTTTCATTTTTTCTGTGTGTATTTTTGTTGTTTTAGAAGGAGAGCAAGTTCACCAAGGTCCTTACTTCTCCATTCAGGAAGTCAGTTCCCAGAAGGTGCGCTCCCAAGCACAACATGCTGCTAATGCTTATGTTCACCTACATCAACCAAGCTCTTTCCAGGTGTCTTTCTTGGACACTTCAGCTCTTTCTTGCTTACCTCTTCTTAGTCTATACTTCAGTTGTCCTGAAATGGCCTTCCACACACTTCCACATTCTGAAATGCCCTGCTCATTCTCTGTTTTATCCTAATGTAGAATCAAAAGTGAATTCTATCACTGTGTATCAGTAAAACCTTCGGCCATTGACCTAAGCTCTCTATGCATCAGGTACCAATCTGTGATCATAAGAGAAGCTCTGATTTGTGCTGTTGTTAAAGTTAAATCAAATAACTTAAAAACAAAAGACAACTGAATTTAAAAATGGATAGTATAGGTACACCTGGCCGGCTCAGTTGGAAAAGCATGTGACTCTTGATCTCAGGGTCATGAGTTCAAGCCCCATGTGGAGTGTAAAGATTACTTAAATAAATAAAAAACTGAAGGGCGCCTGGGTGGCTCAGTTAGTTAAGCGACTGGCTTCAGCTCAGGTCATGATCCTGGAGTCCCGGGATCGAGTCCCACGTCAGGCTCCCTGGTCAGCAAAGGAGCCTGCTTCTCCCTCTGACCCTCCCCCCTCTCATGTACTCTCTCTCTCATTCTCTCTCAAATAAATAAATCTTAAAAAAAATAAATAAATAAAAAACTGAAAAAATGGACAAAAAATTTTAATAGACACTTCTTTAAAGAGGATATGTAAATGACCAATAAGCACATGAAAACATGCTCAGCAACCTTAGTCATTAAGAGAACGTGTCAAAAACCACAAATGAGATATTATTTAGTACCCATTAGTTGAAATGGTTAAAAAAGGTAATAAAAAGTGCTTGGAAGGATGTGGAAAATTTGGAACACACACATTGCTGGTTGGAATGTAAAATGGTGCAACCAATCTGGAACATGGTTTGACAGTTTTTCACAAGATTCAATATACAGCTACCACATGCTAGGTATATAGCCCAAACAAATGGAAACATATGTTCACACAGAAACTTGTATATGAATGCTCATAGCAGCATTATTCAAAACTGGAAACAACTAAATGTCCATCAACTGATGAATGGATAAACCAAACGTGATATATCTAGCCAGCAAAATATTATTTAGCCATGGCTAGTTGAATATAATAAAAAATAAGACTAAGGAATATTAATCATCCATACAAATGTGCTGCAATGTGGATGAACTTTGAAAGCATGATGCTAAATGAAAGAATCCAGTCATGAAAGGCCACATATTGCATGAAACTACTTATGTAAAATGTTCAGAATAGGCAAATCCATCGAGTGAAAGAGCAGAGTAATAGTACCCTGGGGGGAGGGTGGGGAGTGGAGTGTGTGGAGGTGGGAATACGTGACTGGCAATGTAAATGAAGTTTCTCTTGGAGGAGTTGAAAATGTCCAAAAGTTATATGTTGGTGCTGGTTGCACAACTCTGTGAATATTCTAAAGACCACTGAACTGTATGGTTTAAATGGGTGAATTTTATGGTCTATAAAGTATATCTCAATAAAGCCATGGAAAATTGAACATAATAAAAAAAAATACAAATAAAGGGCTAAGACTCCCCCCCCCCCGCCCCAAATAAAACTAAGTTGATGGCTTTGGCAGCCAGTGGAAAAAAGTTCAATTGAACAGTGCAAGAAAGGCCCTTAAAACCATGTTAGATTCACAGGACTCTCAAAGTCTGTTAACATGTTTGTGGGCTTCTCCTTTGCTTCAACACTATTTATCTCAGTAACATCATTCACTGTTAATATCTCAGCTAAAAATATAGTTTCCTTAGAGAATCTTCCTTACCCATCCTAATCCCTGAGACTCCAAACTGAGCATTGACATCCAAGCATACATCTCATAGCCTCACATTTTTGTTTTATTGTTACAGTATGTCTAACTGTGTGTCTCATACTCCATGTTAGATTTATGGCTTTTAAGACCATGTTTACTTTCTTTTTTATTGTATCTTCAGAGCCAACCACATAGCCTGTCAAAAAAGATTTGCATCGACTTGGGTGGAACTGGAGGGAATTATGCTAAGTGAAATAAGCAGGCAGAGAAAGACAATTATCATATAGTTTCCCTCATATGTATAGGAATAGAGCGGAGGACCACAGGGGAAGGGAGGGAAAAGTGAATGGGAAGAAATCAGAGAGGGAGACAAACCATGAGAGACTCTGGACTCTGGAAAACAAACAGAGTCACAGAAAGGAGGGGGTTGGGGAATGGGGTAACCAGGTAATGGGTATTAAGGAGGGCATGCGTTGGGATGAGCACTGGGTGTTACAAACAACTAATGAATCGTTGAACACTACATCAAAAACTTATGATGTACTATATGCTGGCTAACTGAACATAATAAAGAAAAAGAGTCACTCAATATTTGTTGATGAATGAATGAATGAATTTATATAATAGTTCTATATTTCTAAAGACTAATGCATTTTTTATTCTCTCTCTTGCTCAGCTGCTGGATCCACCCAGGCAAGAGATTTATATGGAGCTTCCTTGGACCAGTGTGTGCCATCTTCTCTGTGAGTAATGACATCACAGCATCCTTAATGCTTAGCTGGGGGTCATTAGAAAAGCAAAATTTTAAGGGTGGTGACAGGGGCAGGCATGTCCCTGGATTGTCGTGGCATTGTATGGTTTTCTAAGACTGCTCCTAAAACTACAAACTCTAATACTCTTGCTTAATATGGAAAAGACTTAAATGTGGAGTTGATGTTGGACAGGCTAGGACACAGATCACAGATTGAAATTTTATTCAATAAACCTTCTGTGGTTTCGGGGCGCCTGAGTGGCTCAGTTGGTTGAGCAACTGCCTTCGGCTCAGGTCATGATCCTGGAGTCCCGGGATCGAGTCCCACATCGGGCTCCCTGCTCAGCAGGGAGTCTGCTTCTCCCTCTGACCCTCCCCCCTCTCATGCTCTCTTTCTCTATCTCATTCTCTCTCTCAAATAAATAAATAAATAAATAAATCTTAAAAAAAATAACATTATAAACCTTCTGTGGTTTCTTGAAGGCCAATTTAGCTTTTGTTCTGATGACCCTCCGGATTTTGAAAATCAAACTGTCTTCCCTCAACAGTGATGTATCCACCCTCCAGAATACAAGGTAAGATTGAGAAGAGAACGACAACCCCACAGACATGTGTGGTCCTAAGGACAAAGCCATGTGCCTCAGCAGTCCCTGATGCTTCTTCTTGGGGTCTGCTAAGGGGACCTAGAGCAGAGAGATGCAGCTATCCTTCTATAGTAGCTGGCTCAGATTCAGTAGTGTGCTCCTGACACCCTGGCCAAAATGTTATATCTATTCCTTTTTTTTTTCTTCAGAGAGAGAGAGAGTTTGGGAGATGGGAGGGCAGAGGGAGAAGGAGGGAGAGAATATTAAGCAGACTCCATGCTCAGTGCGGAGCCCAACATGAGGCTCAGTCCTACGACACTGAGATCATGACCTGAGCTGAAATCAAGATTTTGATGCTTAACTGACTGAGCCACCCAGGTGCCCCTGTTCCATTTATAACAGTTTGTAACTCCCTCAGCAACAGAAAGAATTGGCATTGGTTAATAAACATTCTTTGGACTTTTGCCAGCAATCCTATGACAAATGTGCAGAGAACATTTATGTTCCCATGAAGCACTTAGAAAAACCTGTGATTGCTCTCACAACCCAACCTACACTTCCACACTCAACACTCAGTTCAGGCTTCTTCTGACCCCTCTTCCATTCCTCTCTATGGAGAAAATCATAGTTAATGTCAAATCTTCTGGGAGGCTTGGGCAGTCCTTTGCTCCAGCAACCTTTGTGCAAATTTAATGCTATTTCTTCTATGTTCCTATTATTATTCTCTCCAAACGAAAATAGAAATCTTGTCCTAGTTATTTTTAATGCCCAGGTCCCAGCTCAGAGACTGATGCAAAATGCCTCCTCTGTAGTGTTGGATGAATGAAATTCAGGATCTCCATGGAGCATCATAAATTTTTGAACCTTACATTATGAAGTATCCCTATCTTCCTCAATCCGAATCAAAACCCTGGTCCCTCATGGCATTTTTTTCTCTAGGGAATCATAGACAGTAAATATCAAAGCAGATCACAAGTCAGTCTGAGAACTCACCAAAAGGGAAAGAAAGGAGAATCCATAGGGTAGAGAGGAGAATGGTTGTCATTGTGTTGCCCTGGGTGCGTCATGAGCCTCCTTTCTTGTCCAACCCAGGATGCTGACATTTAAAACCACAGCTCAGTTCCTCATCTTGGGCTGCACCTGGTGCCTGGGCATCCTGCAGGTGGGTCCATCTGCCCACATCATGGCTTACTTCTTTACCATCATCAACAGCCTGCAGGGCGTCTTCATATTCTTGGTGTACTGCCTCCTCAGCCAGCAGGTACCACTGCCCAACTCCCACCCAGTACTCCTCCCATCCTCACTCCCTTCAGTGAGCTGACCCAACCATGCATTGCCTCTGCAGGTCCGGGAACAATATAAGAAATGGTTTAAAGGGATCAGGAAAACAAGAGCTGAGTCTGAGAAATACACACTGTCCAGCAAGGCCATGTCTGATACCACCAAACCCAGCACGGTAAGATCAGGCACTGATCCCAGAGCACTTCACTAAGTGATCTGCTTGAGTACCATATGCTTATCACAGTGAATACCTTTATAGAGCAGCAGGTGATGCCCTAGGGTGGCTCACACTGGTTTGCTTTTTGACTCTTCACCTGCTAATTTAATGTTAATAATTTAGCTGTTAATTAATTATTAACTTTTGGACTCCTCTATAAAGATGGTGCTTCCACCTGCTCTTTGGATCCCATCTTTCATACCTTCTCAATTATCTTTAACTATTAGCAATGGCCTTTGTTTTTAAAGGTTTGTTTAAGAATATATTTTGCTCCTTAGGCAACCGTGTTCATCTTAACTCTTACACATCAACACTCATGAAACACCTATATGGCTGGCATGGCTAACTAAGTAAACACGAATCAGTGATCTGAAGCAGTGATGCACATTCAGCTCAGGCCACATTATCTTATCCTTTTTCTCTACACACACCTGTATCTCATAGTTACTGAGCAGCAAGTCCCACAAAGGCAATCATGGGGGAGGCTGATGTTCATATTTATAAATTAAACAGAAGAGTTAGCTGGCATTTTGGGCTTCCTTATAAGAATGCCTGATGTTTTCAACACTCTCTACTCACTGCAAAACCAGGAAAGAAAAGCAGTAATGGCATGGTAAAATTCATGGGGATGGTTATTCAGAACCAAACTTACTGGTTTAAGATTGAACCAAGTTCTTTGCCTACAGTTTCTTTCCTCTTCCATTTTCTGTTAAAGACTCCCCCGAGTCTCCCTTCCCATCTAAAGGAAGCTACTCTGCTGCCAGGAAGTCTTCCTGCATGATCTTGTTCACCCAACCCCTACTGGCACTATTTCTGCCACTGAATCTTCTGTGTTCTCCCCCTTTCTCAGCAAATGTTCTTACCATTTATTTCACAGAGATAAATGGAGTCATCGTGATGACACCTTGTGAACTCTATGCAGTTGGCCATACCAACCAAATATCAGCATGAATCCTGTCCACATTTCCAGATCACTGATGCAGTTTCTGTGTTCCTCTAGGAAGAGTGCTTCCATCTTCTCTTTGGATCCCATCCTTCACACCTTATCAATTATCTTTAAATTACTGTTCACACATTCTCCTCTCTCTCCCCTTCCCTATGGCATCATCTCAACGGCATTCCTCCCATAGTCATGGAAGTATGCTTGGTTCTCTTCTATCTTAAAAACATGTACTGCTTGCCCCCCCTTTACCTACCAGCCAAGAGTTGACATCTCTGTCTCCATTTCCTTGCCTTAAACTTACTCCCTCTCTCAACCCTTCCAAATATGGCTTCTTTCCCCCATCATGCCACCCTAACAAACATCTCTTAGACATACAATGATCTTCATGTCCCTAAAAGTTTTCTCAGTAACTTGTGACACTATTCGTCCTTTCTCATGAAATACTCCATCTTCATCCGGTCTAGATTCTACTTACACACCCTTCTACATCATTCTTCCATTCTTTCTAGCTTTTCTTTCTTTGTTTCCTTTATAGCTCCATCCAGTGGATCAGTTCCGGAACAACTTCAGTCCTCATTAAATTCTTTCCTCCTGGACAATAGCATCTATTCTTTAGATTAGTTATCACTAGATACAAATGACAGCCAGGTATATTTCTCTAGTTCTGATCTCTGAGATCTAGACACGTATTTCCAGCTTCTTATTTCTCATATCTTGAAGACACCTTTAGCTCAGTCTTCCAGTAGAAGAGTTGCAATATTTACCCCAATTAAATCCTTTCCCATGATGTCTTTCTCTCTCTGGATGGCACTACCTCCATCCTGTGGCACAAGTTTTGGCCATAAAAGTTACTCTCAAGAATGATTTTATTTCCCACCACAGCCTATCCATTATACAGCCCTTGTTTTACTTTCTCAATATGTCCCCAGTATGTCCTGCTGGCTCAATCTTCATCACTCCTTATAGCCGGCTGCCATCTTTACTTGGCTGAACAACTGCAGTATACCCCTTGTAACCTTCCTGTGCATCCTTTACACATAAGTTGGAGGGATCTTTTCAAAACACACAAAAAATCATGTCACTACTTTGTTAAACTCATTACATGAAGGATCAAACCCCAAATCCATAAATCAATGAGTATTTGCTTGGGTTGTCTCCTGCTTTCCTCTCAAGGTTCATCTACCATAAACTCGCCATTATTCTGGCCACATCAGATTTCTTTCAATATTTTTTAAAGATTTGTTTATTTATTTGACAGAGAGAGGGAGAGAGAGTACTAGCAGGGGGAGTGGCAGGCTGAGGGAGAAGCAGGCTTCCTGCTAAGCAGGGAGCCTGATGCGGGACTCAATCCCAGGACCCTGCTATAATGACCCAAGCCAAAGGCAGACACCCAATCAAATGAGCCACCCAGGCGCCCTTCTTTTAATTTTTTAAATTCACTGTGTCTCTTTGGAGCAAAGGCTTTGCACATATTCCGTCTCCTTGAAACACTCTTTTGTTTTCCTTGACATAAAACTATGTAGGTCTTCAGATCTCAGTTCATGTGTCCATTCCTCAAAGAAGCCCTCTCTTTCTGCTTATATTAGGTCAGATTCTCTTGTTTTTCACTCTGATAGCCCCAGTATCTTTCCTGCAGAGCAGTTGTCGGAGTCATTTACTCTTGGTTTTCACTGTTTGATTAGTGTCTCTCTTCCCTCTGGGTGTCAGCTCAACAGGCGCCATGTTGGTTTTCCCCTCTAATGTATCCCCAGCATTTCACACAGGGCCAGGCCCATAGAAATCAGTGCTCAATACATAATTGCTGCATAACTGATTAAATTAAATGAACAAACTTCTGTTGCAGAAGGTGCAGGAACTGTCGTGCTCACCAACCTCTTTCCAATTTTCCAAGTGGTCAGTAATCATCTAGTGAGCAAATAAGTCAATGAATGAATGAATGAATGAATGAATGAATTGCCTGACCATGAGGGGAGTAAAAGAGCTGAATACACTACTGATTAGTTTAGGATGCCCCTTTCTCTTGTGAATTTCAAGATAATTCTCTTCCCTGTGGTCTTATTACTGACCATCATGTCCTCTTATTAAGACCCATATAGTTCCTGATGATCTAAGAGCATAATGTAGAACTTAGTTCTCAGACTGAAACAAGCCTGGAATGAAATACCAGCTCTCTCAAGTGCTTGCTATGTGAACTTGGTCAAATTGCTAAAAATTTTAAATCATCCATTGCTGCCATCCTCTCTTCCCTACACATGAGACAGTTTTCGTAGATTCACTCAATCAGTACTAATTATTTGCTTCCATGTGTAGGTTTTGGATGGCTCATGCATTGGTGGGAGGGGGCTAAACATCTCCCACACACGTTGTAGGTGTTGATTCAGCCAAGAATGGGTAATATAAGCAAGCAGGAGTTAATGCAGCATCCCTCAGTACAGCTGATGCCATCACACAAGCAGAGGGATCGGGACATACATCTTGAAACAGATCATTTTTTTTTTTTTCTGTAGCACATTTCATTGTTCTTATCTTCTGTAACTTGGGGCTTAGGAAATGTAGGGAGATGGGACTTCTGGGGAAGACCAGGGTCTCACATAACGTAATCTGATAGGCCTTTTTTATTTTATATTATTATGTTATGTTAATCACCATACATTACATCATTAGTTTTTGATGTAGTGTTCCATGATTCATTGTTTGCATATAACACCCAGTGCTCCATTCAGTACGTGCCGTCTTTAATACCCATCACCAGGCTAACCCATCCCCCGACCCCCCTCCCCTCTAGAACCCTCAGTTTGTTTCTCAGAATCCATAGTCTCTCATGGTTCATCTCCCCCTCCGATTCCCCCCCTTCATTCTTCCCCTCCTGCTATCTTCTTTTTTGTTTTTTTAATATATAATGTATTATTTGTTTCAGAGGTACAGGTCTGTGATTCAACAGTCTTACACAATTCACAGCGCTCACCATAGCACATACCCTCCCCAATGTCTATCACCCAGCCACCCCATCCCTCCCACCCCCCACCGCTCCAGGAACCCTCAGTTTGTTTTCTGAGATTAAGAATTCCTCATATCAGTGAGATCATATGATACATGTCTTCCTCTGATCGACTTATTTCGCCCAGCATAATACCCTCCAGATCCATCCACGTTGTTGCAAATGGCAAGATTTCATTCCTTTTGATGGCTGTATAATATTCCATTATCTATCTATCATCTATCTATCTATCTATCTATCTATCTATCTATCTATCTACACACACCACATCTTTTTTATCCATTCATCTGTCGATGGACATCTTGGCTCTTTCCATGGTTTGGCCTTGGGGGACATTGCTGATATAAACATCGGGGTGCACCTGCCCCTTCAGATCACTACATTTGTATCTTTGGGGTAAATACCCAAGCAGCACAATTGCTGGGTCGGAGGGTAGCTCTGTTTTCAACTTTTTGAGGAATCTCCATACTGTTTTCCAGAGTGGCTGCACCAGCTTGCATTCCCACCAAAAGTGTAGGAGGGTTCCCCTTTCTCCGCATCCCCACCAACATCTGTCGTTTCCTGACTTGTTAATTTTAGCCATTCTGACGGGTGTGAGGTGGTATCTCATTGAGGTTTTGATTTGGCATTCCCTGATGCCGAGCGATGTTGAGCTCTTTTTCACGTGTCTGTTGGCCATTTGGATGTCTTCCTTGGAAAATTGTCTGTTCATGTCTTCTGCCCATTTCTTGATTGGATTATTTGTTCTTGGGGGGTTGAGTTTGATAAGTTCTTTATAGATTTTGGATACTAGCCCTTTATCTGATATGCCATTTGCAAATATCTTCTCCCATTCTGTTGGTGGTCTTTTGGTTTTGTTGACTGTTTCCTTTGCTGTGCAAAAGCTTTTTATCTTCATGAAGTCCCAAGAGTTCATTTTTTCCCTTGCTTCCCTTGCCTTTGGCGATGTTTCTAGGAAGAAGTTGCTGCGGCTGAGATTGAAGAGGTTGCTACCTGTGTTCTCCTTTAGGATTTTGA